CATATATTTCCATATACATGTATACAGAAATATTTATTTCCTGTGCAATTCAATACATTATGTAGGAAATTCTCACCTATTCACCCAGTGGAAACATTATATCCTCTGGAATGTACTGTTGGAGCTCCGTTAGTTGAATACTAATCACACTGTTTGAAGTTACAGATTTGTGTCTTCCCTAGGAAAGATCATATATAAAGAGAGGAGAAAGGAAAAGGGGAAAGGGGAAAAGAAAGAAGGAAGGACCAAAAAACCAAGTTTCCCTAGAGAATAACAGTAAAAGTAAGCCAATGTGGCAACTTAATGGTAGTCAGAAACAACACAAGCTCCTTTGCAAACTAGGAGAACAGAGAACTGGCTCAGTCATTTCCCAGAAATGAGAATTTCTAGGTCAACCGCAAAATTAGAAGTTTATAACCAAGAATTCAGCCAAAGATCCAGCAGTTCCCCATAAGTCTCAGGGGTTGTCTACTACAGTTATGTTCAAACTTATTTTTTGTTTTCAACTTGGTATTCTAACCATGCTATGGCAGAAATTGCCCCAGTGTGCCCTGCGTTAAGTGTTTTGATCCCTCATCTCTGAAGTTAGCTGAGCCCATACACAGTAAACGTTACAGTAAAGTTCATCACCGAGGGTGGGATGCTTGGTGCACAGGCACAGATGAGGTGCTCCAAGCTATGGTGAAGGGACCTAAAGAATCTCAGGAAGCCCCCAAGTAACTGGAGAGGGACTCATTCAACATTTCAAAAATATTAGGATCTTACAATGTTTCAGGTACCAGGTACAGATGGGGAAACAACAATAAACAAGAAGCAGAGACAGCCCCTGCCCTGGGGAGCTCATGTCCTAGAGGAGAAGGCAGATAAATTCCACAGCTTTGGTTCATGTTCAGGAGGAAAGAGGCAGAGTGTTCCGAGAGGGTGCCACGGGGAACCTGGCCTCTCCTTGCGAATCAGAGACAGCATTCCTGGGGAAGTGAAGTCTGCGTGCCAACTGGGAGTCAGCCAAGCAAAAGACGGATGGGAGCAAAGTTTCAGGTTCTATATACACCAGCTTCATGGCAAGAGCATCAGGAATATTGAAGGACCTTAAAAAATGCAGCCTAGTTGAAGTTCACAGAAAGAGACCCCAACTGAAACACAGAAAGGAAAAGAATGGAAAGAACAGAGTAGAGCATCAGAGATAGAAGGAACCCAAACAAATGCTCTAGTATAGCTGCAACTTGAGTCTCAGAAGGAGAGGAGAAACTGAGGTAGGAGCAGAAGCATCATTTGAAGAAATAATGTCCCAGAGTGTTCCAAAATGGATGCAAGACGTCAACCCAAAGGGGATTCTAAATGCTCAGCGAATCCCCCACAACGATAAATAAATTGTGATACACCCATACCATGGAGTTCTATTCAGCAATAAGAAAAGAACTTCTGATGTTTGCAACAACATAGGAAGATCTCAAAAGTATTATGATAAATTAAAGGAGCTAGTTGCAAAAGGCCACATACTGTATGACATTATATGACATTTATATGACATTCTGACAAAGGCAACATTATAGTGACAGAAATCAGACCAGTGGTCACCAAGGCCTGAGATGGGTAGGAAACTGACTAGAAAGCGGTGCAAGGAAAGTTTCTACGCTGGTGGATGCTCAGCTATTATTAATAGTATGACAAACAGGCTATAAAATAATATCACCAGTAGGAAGGAGATTTTGTTACATTAACAGATGTTTTCTAGAGAAAATGTCCACAATCCACTCATCAAGAATTAGCCACTGCTTCATTTTTGTCTGCTTTGAATTTTGCTGTTTATACTTTTCTTCAACTACTGAGTTTTCTACAATGAGAATATAATTATCATAGTTAGGGAAAAAATTATTTTTGAAAACAACTAATATGTTTCATACTGATTCTAAAACATAGTAAGCTATTTCCTAATAAGTTTATAATGTCTTTTGAAATGTTAAATGTTCTTTGATAAAAGAGCGCTTTTCTTTTACTATCTTTAAAATTTTATGTAATTAATTCTACACACACAGAGAACTACACATTGCACTTGAAAATGTCTATAGAAATCACTACCTCTGGGTTTGCAGAATCCTTAGCTAAATTATTCATTTACCTGACCCCACATAAAGTGAATTCCTAACATGGGGTTTGCACTACTGATTTCTGTCTACCTGCAAGGTTGTCCCATAGCAAGCACGAAGGGCGAGGCAGACTCCATGCAGGAGATGAGGTCCCCCTGGCTCTCTGTGCCCCGCGCCCTTCTCAACAGCACGATTGCAGCGAAGAGTGCTGCAGCCCTGTTTGGCTTGACAGGGCGGTGCCCCTGTGGCTCAGCAAGGCCACTTCTGACAGACTAACGACTTGGGAAAGGACTCTCTTGAGGGGGACTTAACACAGTCACCTGTTGATTTATGAACACACGCATTCACACACACCTGTCTCACTCTTTTAAACCATATCAATTTGCTACATCTCAGCAAAGGAAAAGAAAAAAAAAAAAAAGAAGAACCGAAACCACTAATTATTCACAAATAGGTCAAATGCAAACTTCCACATCTGCTAAATCTGACTGGATGAAGTTTGTAAACCACTAACACCTTATTTTCCCTCTCTTTTAAATGAATTTTTAATTACATAAGAAATAAGTGAATTCATTCTTCCCTGAAATGAAATAGTACCTTTTGACTACATTCCCCCAATTTCCATCAGTCTGTACCTTCCCCATAGAGAGTTTGGGGCTTTGGGGTTAGGCTTCCAGAACTTTTACATACATATATCTGTATATATTTTATATACGTGCATTTATGCAGCACAGAAAACAGCATTGCTTAATGAAGGTTTTCCTTTTTCTATTTTTTTCTCTTTTTTCCTCGTTCTTTTGTTATATAAATGGTTTCATACTGCAGTTATCATCTGCAATTTGCTCAGGTTTTTTTCTTTTTTTAGCTTTATCCCAGGCTGGTTTGACAGATCTTGTTTGTTTATTTTAACTGCTGTCTACAAGCCCATCATATAAATATGGCACATTCTATGTATCTATTCCCCTGATAGACAGGTTATTCCAATTTATCACCATCACAACATGCATATAGTCATCTCTGGCCATCTATGTTCACCTGTGCCTCCCATCCAGGCAGGCCATGTCTGTTGTCCCCACCCTGAAATGACAGGCAGCTAGACAACCAAGTCACATGGTGCCAGGGCCTCAGTACTCTCCTGATCTGGACCTCACTGAGCAAGGCTTGGGTGCCTTTTGGGCACATCTCCAGGCCGGACTCTGCCCTGGGCGGGAGGACAAGGCAGTAGGAGAAACACGGCCATCGCCTCCCTACAGATCCACCCAACCACGTCACAGGCTGACTTGCCCTCATTTTCAGATTCAAATGCAAACTTTCGCCATTTCCCCTAAAACCTAGAAACCCACCTAAAGGAAGGCTAGTGTTTAACATTCCCTGAGGAGGGTTGCAAGGACTCTTGGGCCTAGCGAGGACCTGTGTGCGCAGGCAGCCACCATTACAGGGGCCTGGAGGAGTGGCCAAAGGCACCCCAGGAGTTTTTGCTGGAGATAAGAGCAATTTTTGAAAGAATAATACAGCAGGAGGTCGAGTCTGACGCGGCTTTCTTTCACACTTGCTACCTTGCACCCCATGAATACAATCCCGGCCCTGTTTCCCGGCCCCACGCCATTTCAGAGTCATGAAGTCATCCCAGCTGCGACTGCAGCCGAGCCACGGCGGGAACTCGGCCGGCCGCCCATCCCCCGCCACCCGGAAATGCCCGCGCCGGGCGGAGCGGGGCAGCGGGAGCGCGGGACTGCGCAAAACGTGCAGCGGGGAGGGCGAGAGCCTGGCGGCAGCGGGGGACAGGAAAAAACGGATCCACGCCCAAGGACAGGCCAGCATTTTACCTGTGGGCCTGCTGCGCAGGGCCCAGCAGACTGCAGCCGTTCCCCAGGTGGGATGTGTGCAGGATTCGGATGGCCGCGGCACGTGTGGGCAGAGTTTAAGAACTGGGGCCTCGCAGGCAAGGCTCAGGCGGGGAGGCCCGGCCTCCTGCTCAGTCTGTGCCAGTGGAAAAAGCGACGTAAGTGCCAGATCTCAAGAGAGCAAGTCATGGGCCTGGGCTTTACAATCTGTTTCATGAGTTATTCCTCCAAGCATGCCTGGCAGAGGAATTTCTTCATTAGTGCCGCGGCGAGCAGATGGGAGCGCGCGCCCCCGGCCTTCCTAGGGAGCGCAGAGGCCGCTCCGCAAGCAGGTGGCTGCCCCCACCCCCCTTTATGGGCAGGCTCTGGGGTTGACGTAGCCCGTTCCGATGGTTACACGGCCTCCCCTGCTGTCTTGGCTAGGGTAGTCCTATGTGGCGGTTTGGTGCCAATTTCAAACCTAGACCCTCATTCTACCCTTGATCCCATAAGGAATGCCTGCCCCCACCCCGGATCCCACGCTTTCTGTGGTATCAAGGACTCCATGTGCTAGGAGCAGCCAAGGGCCACACGGTCTGAGTTGCTGGAAGGTTCTCTGTCCTGGGGAAGAGGCTCCATCCTAATGGAGACCAGCAGAGGTAGAGCGAGGGGATGCAGGGACTGAGCATGGACAGGAGGCAGAATGGCTAGACCGGGTGTTCCAGCGGAGGGTTAGCGAGTTAGCATTCCCCACCAATAGAAAGCCTTGGAGATACTTTAGGTATGACCCCACCTCTCTTCCTCAGACATCAGCTTCCTTTCTGTTATCATTAACTCCCCTTACTTCCAACCACAGCTGTGGCCACACCTTCTCCAACCTGAGAAACAGGGTGAAGGCTCCCAGTGTGTCTCAGAGGCTCTGCCCAGCAATCCTTTTGAAACTGGGGTTGTCATGGAGAAATGAAAATAAAATCCTAAGCCCCTCAACTAACTGAATGGACCCACTCTTGGCCAAGGGGGCCCCAGAGAAACCCTAAAACCTGAGTTCCTAGCCACAATGAGAGAAGAGGTCTCACATGCCTTCTTATAACCTCCTCTGTCGTCAGGCTCCCTTCCCTAAGGACTAAACAGAACACAGCACTTTTGGAAAGACTTGCTCCACGGCTGATTTCAAGCAACCTCGTGACTGCCCCTCTGTTTTGTGGTTTTGACACAACTGGCCAGCATTCCTTCCTGAGAAGAGCCCACAGACCATGATGCTGGCCAGTCTACAGAGGCTGTGCACAAGCACAGTGGGCCTTCATGTCCTCTGCTTCATCTTTTGACATCAGAGGACCAAAATCTGCACCCTTGGACCATGTTAATGCTGTCAGTTTTTGAACCTGGGATCCATGAATTGCCATGAAGCTCAGTTGCACATGCACATGTTTCTTCTTTTGTAAGTACTCGTGACTCTTCCTATAGCTTATGAAATATTTATATTTGGCCCCACTCAGCATCATTTCCTGTTCCCTTCACCCTTCCCTCCAAGTGCTTGCTGTTGGCTTCTGCCTGAGGCTGTGCTTAGCAGCCTGCAAGATAGCCACCTGCAGGCTGCACCCCTTAAAGCTCTCCTCTCCAAATTTATGAACCTCATCATTCTTCTGTTGGCATTATTGAGGGAGGCTTTGAGAACGAGGAGAGGGCTGCTACGGTTTGAATGTTTATGTCCCCCCAAAATTTATATGTTGAAATCCTAAGCCCCAGCATGATGGTATTAGGAGGTGGGACCTTTGGGAGGTGATTAAGGCATTAGGGTGGAGCCCATATGAATGGGATTAATGTCCTTAGAACAGAGGCCCCAGAGAGCTGCCATGGTCCTTGTGAGGACACAGGGAGTAGATGCCATCTGTGAACCAGGAAACAGAACTCACCAGACACTGAATCTGCTGGTGCCTTAATCTTGAACTTCCCAGCCTCTAGAACTGTGAGAGATAAATTTCTGCTGTTTATAAGCCACCCAGTCTGATTTGCTGTTAGAGCAGCCCCAGCTGAACAAGGCAGGGGCTTTCCTTCCCCAGTCTCTGCAAGCCTCAGCTCCACGAGCCCCCAGCACCACCTTCCTTCTTCATGAACATGGAATGTTGTGGGGCCCCCACATGTCCCTGAATCCCTCTAGCATTTTGGTTTCACAAGGAAAGACATAAAGGAAAGAAAGATTGCAGAGAAGCAGCACAGAGAAGCCGTCCTCCCTGGCGCTGGGTGTGAAGCACAGGAGAGAGGAGGGAGGGTGTGGGGTTGTTGCTGAGGACCCCCCTTGAGCTGGGGGCTCGAGCTGGGAAAGGCGGGAGTGGCCCGGCTCACTGTCTCCTCTTCTTCCCTCTCCTCACTCCCTCGGACAGTGCTGCCCCCCCACCCCATGCCAGAGGGTGGGAACAAAGGACAGGGTGGGGTTGTCACTTGAGCAACATCAGAAAGAAGAAAGCAGAAGTTCCTGGAAGATGGCTGAGACAGACATGAGAGACAGCCCTGGTAAGTGGCCCGCACATCCCCTTCAGGGCCCTCTCCTCTCCCCTACCTGAAGGAGCTTCATAAATGAATGACAGCTTAAATTGTTTTAAAAAATAGAGTGAAAAAACATGCAACATTTATGTCCCAAAAGAGGAGTTTTTGACAAAAAACTGAGAAAGCACAATAAATGTGGTTTTGCAGTAGCATGCAAAGTGGTAAGCATGGAGTAGCTTTGTACTGTGAATTTGTGTTTGAAAAATTGTAAATACTCATTATAAAAAGAAAAATGACTCAGCCACACATGAAAAGAGTGAGCTCTATAACTACATATTGGCTATAACTTGGGTGTTTCCCAACAGGAAACTATGGACCCAAACCAGACCCTCTAGAACACTGTCCCACTGGCTTCAGCTTAACTCACCAGAGATTGCAGCTGCTGTTGATGTGATTTACAATAGCCAGCAGCAAACCCTATGGAAGGCAAGAATGAAAGCTGAACAGCAAGAACACTGCTGTGTCCTTATAAATTCAGCTTTGTGGCTCAGACACAATAAAGCATGCTTCCTCTCATTCTCCTCCAAAGCTACTGAAAAAACACCAAGGACAACAGGAAGCAAATAGCAACAAGTGGATTTCAAGACTAGGAAACTCCACATCTGGTGACATGGCTTCCTGCCACCTGGTCTTCCTCTAAGAGCAGAAAACCATCATTCTTTGTCTTCTAATTTTATTTTTGAGATCATGACACAGAAGTTTCCTTGAATCCTTGAAATTTATTAATACTTAACTTAAGAACAGGCTTGACTGTGTATTGCCCATCACGATCACATGATCACAGTGATCAGTGACTCCAGGCATTGTTAGAACCCTACTCTTGCACCCCACAGTCCTGGAATGGCTGTCACATTTGCTTTTAAGACAAACCCATAGCACAAGATAGCTCATAGTATCTTTCCAGTGAGACCATGCATTCCTCAAAGACAGAGAGCATATCCCAACCACATGCACTTTCCCTTTGATCTGAGGATGATGCATGCATTAGGGTAAGAATTTCAAATACTAGTTCCCTTCACATTCTTAAAAATGTTAACTCACCAAACTTCCATGTGCACTTGGATTCTACATAAACAAAATGCTTCCTGTGAATCCATAGGAGCTGTGATGATTCAGGTAACGGAAGGAGGCCTGTGTATGCGAAGGTGGGAGATAGAAGCAGGAAAGAGACAAGAGCACATCAGGCCCTTTGATCTCTGCCCTGGAAGATCTGCTTCCTTGGGGAAAGAGCCCTGGAGGACGGACACCCCTTGTGCCCGGTGGGTTTCAGGATATGGGAAGTGTGAGAAACCAGGATGGGCACCTGTCTGTCGCGTGCCATGCCGAGCACTGATACTGGGCATGTTCTGTCTCTGGCCTGAGATGGACTCCCCCACCTTCCTGAGCCTTAAGAATATTACATTGAGTTCTTCAAGAAGTAGCATTTAGAACTGTGAGAATATTCATCTCATCCTTTATCTTCAAGGCAAGTTCCAAAGACTCCTAAGGACTCATTCAAGGGGGTTGAAGGGGGAGTGGACGAGGCTTTGGTTTTGCATAATCTCATAAATTAAAGTATATATAGTGTCATATTTAAAAAGTTTCATTTGCTAAAAAAATGCAAATTGTTTCTCTATTCTATAGAATACAATTAATTTTTAATGCCTCCTGTATGACAAGTAGGAACCAACCTTTGGTCTCTGTCACATCCTACTAGGGTTAGTGAGGCTCCCAATGTGCACCAGGGGCAGGAGAGGCAGTAGGATGTTCTGTCTGGCTTCTTGCGCTCGCAGACAGGACCCGGCCGTTTTTGCCTTATTTAGAAATATACTTGTTTTATTATGACGCTGACAGTTTGTTAGCACAGAGAGAGACAGAGAGGCTCACAATGTTTGAGTCCCTTATCTCGCATTGTTTATGTTCTTAAAATAATTTAATTAGACTAATAAACAAAAGCATTTTTAATTCATAAACAAAGAAAGCTCAAAAAAATTAAATGTCCCAAAAGACAAAAAGAATAGAAAAGGCAAATCATTCCAAGTCATTCTCTCATCCTCTGTTTTGCATATTCCTGCAAGCTCAGTCCCTAAGAGCCAAAGGGATTTCTAAAATATGTGTTCATTTCCTCATTTTGTTAAGATTTTATGGCTGAGTAGTACTCCATGGTATACGTACCCCACATTTTATTATAGGGTACAGTGCGCACTTTCTGGGGGATGGGCACGCTTGTGGCTCTGACTTGGGTGGTGCAAAGGCAATGTATGTAACCAAAGTGTTTGTATGCCCATAATATTCTGAAATTAAAAAAAAAAACTTGCTAAAAAAAAAAGATTTTAGTAGGACCTTGGAAGCCTTCTAGATGAATCAATATTTAAACTAGTGCTATTAATAGATGCCATGACTGTGTCCATCTTCTTAAATGACTCTCTAAAAAGATAAATTGGAAAGGAGAGCCAAATGTAGGGTTTATATTTTATAAAGCAGTTTTGAAAACATGGATTGATTCAGTTTTTAAAGCAGGAAGAATTTAAAACTCTAAAGCTAAAGGGAGATTTCTGAAAGAACAAAAAGAAAGACGGGATTACATAATTCTGAGTTTACACAGTCAACACAAGTAGACTCTATCATTTTAATCTTCTATATTATTAATGTCTGACATTTTATCATTATAAACTCTTTAACTCATAAATGACTGGGAACAGTGTCAATATATTTGTAATCATTACCCCTATAGTGTACTTTAGTCTCTGCACTTCAATAATATAAATGCAGTTTATGAATTATGGGTGTAAATGTAAACCAGTGGAATATAAATTATTGTGGGGACAAATGTTCTATCTACAAGTAGTTTGTATTTTATACAATTAATATTAGCTAACATGATTTAAACATTAATTACATGGTAATCATATAGTAAGAGTTTCAAGTGGATTATCTCTTAATCCATCATAAACCTATGTGGTAGATACAATTGTTCCTTCATTTTATAGAGATTTGGAGTTTGCCCAATGAAAGTGGCTGGAAAGTGGTGGAGCCAGCTGTGAGCCCAGCCTCTCTGACTCCAAAGGCTATTAACTCCACACTGCCCTGTGGGATGGTGAAGAGGTCATATGGAGATATGATTGATTGGAATATTATTACAGCAATGTTTATTAGGAAAGCTGGTGATTTGCCATTGTTTTTGACATGTCTCAAATTTTGCCTAATAAATCCTCATCACACATATCAGTCACAGTTCAATCAGATAAGCAGATTCACTGGGAGGTAATACATATATTTTGTGTATATATAAAAAATATATATACACACACATATACATACATACACATGTTTTGTGTCAATCTCTGCAAGGCTATTGTCCACAAGGCAGGCAGTGGGGAAGCAAAGATGAACTGGGGCCCATAAACATCAGCTAGAACCCATGAGTAAAGGCTGAAACTCATGTCAATTCTTGCTGCTGCTGGCTTTGACAGTGTGGTGGCCTACAGGAAGAGCTGGTGCCTTTCATCACAGAGTTGGCCCAGGAGTCATAGGGGCTGGAGCAGGATTGGTCAAGGAGGAGTGGTTGCAGGCCTGGCTGCTGCCCCACACCAACGAGATGAGCCGGTGACAAGCAGCAATCTGTGTAAGCTACAATAAGGCTACTCCTTTATTTCTAGCCTCCAGATTTTCCACAAGAGTCTTTTTCGTGGCCTACTCTAACGAGAAACATGCAGGGGAGGGAATTCTGGGAAAGTAGCTCTGTCTAGGCAAGTTGACACAAAGCCACCACACCAAGGTGCACTAAAGGTACAGAGAGGCATGGAGCATGGCTGTTGCCTTCAAGAGGCCAACTATCTGGAGGTGTTAGGGGAAAGAGAAACATTATTAGATAATATCAATACAGGTATTATAATAAGTATTATGCTAAGTGCACCCAGGGTGCAATAGGAGCCCACAAAAAGTGGCCCACCCTACCCAAGCTGGGATTTCAGAAGATCTTTCTGGAGGATGTGGTGTCTAAGCAGTCTTAAAGAATGAAGTAGGAGTTGGCTAAGAGAAGGATTAGTAGGGATTTTAAGGTGGATGGGGGAGAATATAAGTGTTAAGTTCTATGGTAGAGGTAGGATAGAGAGATTTATAAGCAATAATTGGGGGCTGGAAGTAGAAGGAAAAGATGTTGGAGAAGTTAGTGTTGCAAATTCTGGAAAATGTATGTGTGGCATTCTAGGTAGCTTGACTTCACTTTCCTGTAATTGAGGAGCAATTCAAGAGTTATACAACAGTTCATAGAAATGAAAAGCTGGCTTCTAGAAATAGGGAGCAGAATTAATAAACTTTATGACAACTAAAGGGTGAAGGAGAGAGGAAGAGTCAGTATTCCGTGTGTTTCTTATACAACTAGGTAGAAGCTGACTATTTCAGTCACAAAGACCTAGAATATTGAAGGGGAAATCAGATTGGATAGAGGAAGGATTATTATGAATTCAAAGAGGTGTCTAGGTGTATGGTTAATTTTATGCATCAACTTGACTGGGCTATGGGATGCCCAGATAGCTGTTAAAACATTATTTCTCAGTGTGTCTGTGAGGGTGTCTCAAAAGAGATCATCATTAGAGTCAGAAAACTGAGTAAAGAAGAACCACTCTCACCAATGTGAGTGGGCATCATCCAATTCCTTGAGTACCTGAATAGAACAAAAAAGCAGATGAAGGGTAAATTCTCTCTCTCCCTCTCCCTCTTCTGCTTGAGCTGATACAATGGCCTTATCTTGCCCTCAGACATTGGCACTCCTGGTTCTCAGGCTTTTAGACTCAGTCTGGGGCCTGTACCATTAACTCCCTAATTCTCAGGCTTTTCTATTTGAACTGAATCATATCACTGGCTTTCCTGGTTCTCCAGTTCGCAAATGGCAGATCATCTGCTGGATTTCTCAACCTCCATAACCATGTGAGCCAATCCCTACAACAAATCTATTTTTTTGTATCTATCTCCCCATCCATCCAGTCTATTGGTTATGTTTCTCTGGAGAACCTTGTAGGAAATATGCAGATTAACAAGTTCAAGAAAAAGTTTGGTTTTAGGAGGTCTCTGCACTCATGAAAGACCATGAAAATGGAGAAAATAATTCAAGAAGAAGATGCAAAGTGAATTATGAAATAGACCAAGGATGAACCTCTTGTGTAAACTTTTACCCAAATCCTCTTCCATAGAATAACTGCATAAACTTGGGCAAACAACCTGACATCTCTCAGTTTCCACATTCCAAAAAATGGATTTCAGAGAGAGTTAAATGTGATAATGCATTCCAACTACCTGGCCCAGAACTTGGTATAAGAACTCGGTACAGATGGAGGTTGGTTACTAATCAACAGCATCATCATATCATCATCACTCATGTTGAAGGGATGGTGGGATGCTAAGAAATCCATGAAGGAGATGAAGAACTATTAGAGAGGTGGGAGGGAAAGGAGAAGACTGTCACAGAGCAAAAGACTGGAGAGCTTTGAGAAAGAGTCAGGAGTCTGGGGGACTGGAATGCTCTCACTGGAACTAGCAATGTTCACGTTGTTGAGGACCTTGATGAACTTTTGATAAAGTGGTAGGAGTAAAGGAAAGCTGAGGTGAGATATGAAGCTGAGGAAGGACATGAGGACTCATAGATTATCCTTTCAAGAAATTTTTCTGGAAAAAAAAGAAGAGATGGTTGTAGCCAGAAGAGAGTAGCAGGATGCAGGGAGTTTTATCAGTTTGTTCTTCCTGTTGTTCACATGCTGTTTTTTGTTTGTTAAAGAGGGAGAGTTGTGAGTATAAAAGAACCCAGAAATAGAGAAAAACTGGAATGGATCCATGTGAATGCCTTTGAGAACAGAATTGAGCCCTGCAGGGGTAGACTTCAAGCCTTGGCAGGTAAGCAAATGTTTGAGACACAGCTGGCTTGGGGATGGGGCCCTTTCCTTGTTTGGCAGGCTTCAGGGAGCATAATTCGAAAGTGGATATTAGAAGAGGCATAATAATGTGAAATTCAACTACTTAGTAGGAGAGGAAACTTTGCATATTATGAGGCAGTTACGAAAGTATTTCCTTTCTATGGGCTTAAAAGGCATTGCCTCTGAGAATTGATGTTTGTCCTCAGGAGGTAAGTGTGGGGACCGATTCAGCAGTTACCACCTAGATGACCATGGTTTATATGCCGTATAAGCCTTCAACTCACCTTGGTAGGCGAGACATGGAGCCTGAGTTAGGAGATCCTACAGCCCCTGACAGGTGGGGAGGTGGGAGTAGGACAGCTTCACTGGCCACAATCCACACTGAGTGCCCAGACATGCAGAAGTGGCTGCTGGAGTTTTCAGGGAGCAGGGAGGTGGGGCAGGTAAGGGATAGATTCTAGGATGCAGTTTCATGAGAAGTGGGTAGGTCTCCACAACTAAATGGAAGACACATACTCTACCCTATTCCTCTAAAAGCTCTGCACAAAATTCATAAAGCAACTGACAGAAGACTCTGAAGGTAGAAGGAAAAAAATGGATTGCCAATTCCTCCAGACTCAAGGAACCATCCAGCAGAGAGTGTCCTGGGTTTTGTTTGCTTATTTGCTTCGTTTTGTTCACTATTTTTGGCCTCCTATATGTGGCAGCCTAGACTCTGAAGAGGCCTATAACCCAGAAACACAGACTAATGGGTACAGATTAAAAAATCCCAAGAAAAGTCTTCTCTTGTTTTAGCCAAAAATCATTTTGGCCATATCTGCCCTAGCACAAGCACACGGCACACACATAAAAAGCTTAGTCCCCCCCACCACCAGGTGCTGCTGGTGGGAAGCTGTGGATAGAGCCCACCCATCCGTCCTGCCTCTTGCATTAATGAGAAGGCGGCCTTCCCTCTCCCAGCTAGAGTGGAAGAGGAGAATTGTGGAGGAGAGAACTAGAAAATGTGATTTTCTAAATCTGTGTATGAAACTCTGGGCAGAACTCTTAGTGCCCTATGCACAAAACAGTCAGGAAACAACATAGCAAAAGGTTTAAAGGGTCAGAAAAACTAAACATTTGTCTGAAACACCACCTGGATTTCAGATTAGGTAGGGCTCAGGGAAGCACCTGAGTGGGGCAGACCATAGTAGCACAGCAAAGGCTTTGAAAATGAAATGGAAATTTAAGCCACAGCCCACGAAGCGGACCAGAACATGCGTTCTGAACTTACCAGGTCAACTGCCTGCTAAAATCAAAGCTTTAAATAGATACCAGAATAATATAATATACTCAAAATGTCTAGGATGCAGTCCAAAGTCTCATCACATTGAGAACCATAAAAATCTCAACTTGAAAGAGAAAAGATAATCTTAAGCACTGAGATGACACAGATGTTGAAATTATCTGGTGAGAATTATAAAGCATTTGTTATACAAAATACTCTAATTTTAAAGCAATTATAAATGCTTAAAAATGACAAAATAGAAAGTCACATCAAAGAGATAGAAAATATAAGGAAGAACCAAGTGAAAATTTTAAAACAGGAAACTATAATAACCAAATTAGTTTTTAAAAAATCACTAGATGGGCTCAACAGCAGGAATTCATAAGGAAATACCAACAAACCGATAGAAAAATGGACAAAGGATATGAAAAGTTTATAGAAAAGGAAATACACATACTCTTACACATATAAAAAGATGTTCAACCTCACTCATAATGAGAAAAATAAAAATTAAAACTACGCCGAGTTACTTGTTTTTATTAACACCTGTCAGACTGGCAAAACCCAAAGTGTGAATATACATTATAAGAATGTGGAAAATTCTCATAGATTGTTTGCAAGCATCCAGAAAAATTTGGTTGTCTCTCTAAAATCCACGAACCATTTGGCCCTGTAATTCCACTTTTAGAAATTTATCCTACAGAAAACTTGCATATGGATGAAAAGACATACGTGCAGTATTATCCCTGGCTACATTGTTGGTAATCACAAAAAACTAGAAACAATTTAATGCCCATCAACTAGTTTAACACTAGTTAAATTAATTCTTATATACCCATACAATGGAAACTACAAAAAAAAAAAAAAGAATGAAGCCCTTTCTATAACTTGTTACCACAGAAAAAATAAAAGGAGAGACAGTGATCTCTATTTGTATGTGTGTGTATATGCACAATGAAACTTTGAAAGGACTTCCCGGGGGTAGGGGCTGGGAGGGAACCTGGACGGTATGCCTATGGATATGTTCTGGTTATTGAAACACGTGAATGTATTGCCTATCAAAAAAAAAAAAAAAGCCAATAAAAACAAACACAGAAAGAACAGAAATAGTCCTTAATGTCCTATGCCAGGGCTTTATCATAGTGGTGGGTCCCTTTATGTCTGGATGAGGTAAACCTAGCTAGTGTTTCAGTTGACTTGGTTTACTATTAAGCCAATGATATTAAGTGGCTTGATATGAGCAGGGGATATTGTTTCATCTGAGGCCGTGTTTGAGGCCTTCCATGGTGTCCACGAAGAAGAAGAGCCCCTGAATCACCAGGGACACTGGTTAGGATGAGAGCGTTTTATCGTGAACACTGTCTCTTGGTGGCCTGGGCCGCTGGGGGCTTGAAGCTTGCCTCCTTCTACCTCACAGCATCCCTACCTTACTGCTTTCTGCTCATCACACAGGGCCTCCCTGCATGCTGTGAAAAGATTTCCTTTCTGGAAACACCATAAGGCTGATGACCAGTCACCCAGCTCCTAGTTCTCCAGTTCTGCAGGTATGGTTTCCTAGGGAAACTGGGCAGAGCACGTCCGTTCTTCCATTCCCCTCTCATCTTCCAGGCGCCCAAAAGCAAACTCTCACAAGACTGACACTGAGCACCTGGCACATGGGAAGTGCTTCCTCCCCGGGCTCAGGAATTTGGTTCTGGCTTTTGTCAGGGTCGCTCAGCCCTCATTGAAGGACAGAGTTTGAGGATGGGGTCTCTCCTCAGCCACTCCTAAGCCTTATTACACAGCCACAAATGCCATCACTTTCCATAGGAGGATCAAGTTGCTTTTCTGAAATCACAGGGCGTCACTGATGTGAGCTGGCTCTCTCACCAGGGCACATGTGGCCAGCACAGCTGCTCCCATCTGTTAGGGTCTGTCTGACGCACAGGGACAGCTGTTGACGGAGCATGCCTCTTTGTTCCACTGGGCTCTTGGTTTAGCCCCACTTTTGGATCCAGGTGATACTCCCTAATTGGCAAACAAAAGCCATAGGAATAAGGTGGAAAAGACTGGTCCTGGCAGAGCCTGGCTCCAGTCATTTAAAATGAAATCAATCTCACTTCTCCCCTTTTCCTTCAGTGTTCTGAAATAATATTTGAAGTCCTGCTTGCTCTCTTTGGAGAACTGCCAATGACTTTGAGGCATATAGTGAAGCTATATTTCAAGGGACGATTACACACAGGACTTTTGAAAAGTGATTCTCACTGAGGAATAATATATGATATGGATTTAATAATCTGCCATGCTTCTCTTAGAAAACTCTTATTTCCTCTCTCCTCTGTAGAAGGAATCTCTCTTCCACAGAAGTGATTGTTAGTCTATAGTGTTTTTTTAATTCTGTAAACTATTATCAATGGTGAGTTTTGAAAGAAACAAACTGCACACGCTCTTAGATTTTCTGTTTTTGCCATTGACTACAGTAAATGTTTTCAAGACATCTCTCTCCATGTTTTGTGAATTGAAAAATAATGAAAAAAATTATTGTTATCACAATGAAGTCATGGGTGAAATGTATAGTCTTGGAGTAAGAATGACAAAAAACCTACTTGTCTGTTTTCCCCATTCTGACTACAATTATAAAACCAATTATCAAGTTTGACAGACTCCCCCTGCCACAATCTGGAGAAATGCCACCACTCTTTTTAGAAAATATTATAATTTTTTTATTTAAAAATATTAAGGGAATACAAATGTTTTTGTTGTAAGGGTACATGATATAATGCTGAAGTTAGGACTTTTAGTGTTGCCTGTCACCAAAATACTGTTTGTTGTACCCAGTAGATAAGTTTTTATTACTCAATCCCCTCCCCACTTACTGGTTTCCAATGACCTTGACATCTCTTTGTGCCCATATGTAACCATCATTTAGCTCCCAATGGTTAGTGAGAACATGTGGTATTTGTTTTCCATTCCTGAGATATTTCATGTAGGGTAACGGTCTCCAGTTCCATCCAAGTTGCTGCAAAAAACATTATGTCATTCCTTTCTATGACTGAATAGTACTTCATGGTGTATATATATGTGTATACACACACACACACATACACACGCACACACACACCACATTTTCTTTACTCATGTATTGATGGGCACTTAGATTGATTCTATATCTTTACAATCGTGAATTATGCTTCAATAAGCATTCAAATGTGTCTTATTGATAAAATGACTTCTTTTCCTTTAGGTAGATACCCAGTAGTGGGACTGCTGGATCATATGGTAGGTCTACTTTTATTTCTTTGAGGAATCTCCACTTTCTTTTCCATAGAGGTTGTACTAATTTGCAGTCCCAACAGCAGTGTATAAGCATTTCTTTTTCTCTGCATCCATGTCAGCATATTTTGTTTTTTGACTTTTTACGGCAATTCCGACAGGAATAAGGTAGTATCTCATTATGGTTATAATTTGCATGTCCCTGATGATTAGTGATGTTGAACATTTTTCATATGTTTGTTGGCCATTTGTCTATCTTCTTTTGAAAAACTTCTGTTCCTTTTGCCCACTTTTTGATGGGGTTGTTTTTTTGTTTGTTTGTTTGTTTTCTTTCTGATATGTTTGAGTTCATTGTAGATTTTGAATATAAGTCCTTTGTAGGATGAATAGTTTGCAGATATTTTCTCCCATTCCATAGGTTATCTATTTACTCTGTTATTTCCTTTGCTATGCAGAAGCTTTTTGATTTAATTAAGTCACAATGATTTATTTTTGTTGTGCTATATTTGCCTTTGGGGTCTTAATCATAAATGCTTTGCCTAGGCCTTTGTCTAGAAAACTTTTTCTACCTTTCCTTCTAGAGTTTTAATGGTTTTATGCCTTACATTTAAGTCTTTAATCCACCTTGAATTAATTTTTATATATGGCAAAAGATAGGGGTACTGTTTCATTCTTCTGGATGTGGCTATCCAGTTTTCCCAGCGTTATTTATTGAATAGGGCATACCTTTGCCAGTGTATATTTTTCCTCTGCTTTGTCGAACATCAGTTGATCATAGCTATATGGTTTTATTTCTGGGTTCTCCATTCTGTTCCGTTGGTCTATGTCTCTACTTTGATACCAATTCAATGCTGTTATGGTTACTATAGTTTTGTAGTATAATTTGAAGTTAGATAATGTACTGCATCCAGATTTGTTCTTTTTACTTAAAGATCACTTTGGTTATTCAGGCTGTTTTTAGGTTCCAAATGAAGTTTAGGATTATTTTTTCTACATCTATGGACTATGACATTGGTATTTTGATGGGAATTGCATTGAATCTTTCAATAATTTGGGGCAGTATGGACATTTTAAAAAGCCATATAACAAACACAGAAAGAACAGAAATAGTCCTTAATGTCCTATGCCAGGGCTTATCATAGTGGTGGGTCCTTTATGTCTGGATGAGGTAAACCTAGCTAGTGTTTCAGTTGACTTGGTTTACTATTAAGCCAATGATATTAAGTGGCTTGATATGAGCAGGGATATTGTTTCATCTGAGGCCGTGTTTGAGGCCTTCCATGGTGTCCACGAAGAAGAAGAGCCCCTGAATCACCAGGGACACTGGTTAGGATGAGAGCGTTTTATCGTGAACACTTTCTCTTGGGACCTGGGCCCTGGGGCTTGAAGCTTGCCCCTTCCGCCTCACAGCACCCCACATTACTGCTTTCTGCTCATCACACAGGCCTCCCTGCATGCTGTGAAAAGATTTCCTTTCTGGAAACACCATAAGGCTGATGACCAGTCACCCAGCTCCTAGTTCTCCAGTTCTGCAGGTATGGTTTCCTAGGGAAACTGGGCAGAGCACGTCCGTTCTCCATTCCCCTCCACTTCTACCCCAAAACAAACTCTCACAAGATGACACTGAGACCTGGCACATGGGAAGTGCTTCCTCCCCGGCTCAGGAATTTGGTTCTGGCTTTTGTCAGGGTCGCTCAGCCCTCATTGAAGGACAGAGTTTGAGGATGGGTCTCTCCTCAGCCACTCTAAGCCTTATTACACAGCCACAAATGCCATCACTTTCCATAGGAGGATCAAGTTGCTTTTCTGTAAATCACAGCACACTGAGTGCCCAGACATGCAGAAGTGGCTGCTGGAGTTTTCAGGGAGCAGGGAGGTGGGGCAGGTAAGGGATAGATTCTAGGATGCAGTTTCATGAGAAGTGGGTAGGTCTCCACAACTAAATGGAAGACACATACTCTACCCTATTCCTCTAAAAGCTTTGCACAAAATTCATAAAGCAACTGACAGAAGACTCTGAAAGTAGAAGGAAAAAAATGGATTGCCAATTCCTCCAGACTCAAGGAACCATCCAGCAGAGAGTGTCCTGGGTTTTGTTTGCTTATTTGCTTCGTTTTGTTCACTATTTTTGGCCTCCTATATGTGGCAGCCTAGACTCTGAAGAGGCCTATAACCCAGAAACACAGACTAATGGGTACAGATTAAAAAATCCCAAGAAAAGTCTTCTCTTGTTTTAGCCAAAAATCATTTTGGCCATATCTGCCCTAGCACAAGCACACGGCACACACATAAAAAGCTTAGTCCCCCCCCCCTCACCAGGTGCTGCTGGTGGGAAGCTGTGGATAGAGCCCACCCATCCGTCCTGCCTCTTGCATTAATGAGAAGGCGGCCTTCCCTCTCCCAGCTAGAGTGGAAGAGGAGAATTGTGGAGGAGAGAACTAGAAAATGTGATTTTCTAAATCTGTGTATGAAACTCTGGGCAGAACTCTTAGTGCTCTATGCACAAAACAGTCAGGAAACAACATAGCAAAAGGTTTAAAGGGTCAGAAAAACTAAACATTTGTCTGAAACACCACCTGGATTTCAGATTAGGTAGGGCTCAGGGAAGCACCTGAGTGGGGCAGACCATAGTAGCACAGCAAAGGCTTTGAAAATGAAATGGAAATTTAAGCCACAGCCCACGAAGCGGACCAGAACATGCATTCTGAACTTACCAGGTCAACTGCCTGCTAAAATCAAAGCTTTAAATAGACACCAGAATAATATAATATACTCAAAATGTCTAGGATGCAGTCCAAAGTCTCATCACATTGAGAACCATAAAAATCTCAACTTGAAAGAGAAAAGATAATCTTAAGCACTGAGATGACACAGATGTTGAAATTATCTGGTGAGAATTATAAAGCATTTGTTATACAAAATGCTCTAATTTTAAAGCAATTATAAATGCTTAAAAATGACAAAATAGAAAGTCACATCAAAGAGATAGAAAATATAAGGAAGAACCAAGTGAAAATTTTAAAACAGGAAACTATAATAACCAAATTAGTTTTTAAAAAATCACTAGATGGGCTCAACAGCAGGAATTCATAAGGAAATACCAACAAACCGACAGAAAAATGGACAAAGGATATGAAAAGTTTATAGAAAAGGAAATACACATACTCTTACACATATAAAAAGATGTTCAACCTCACTCATAATGAGAAAAATAAAAATTAAAACTACGCCGAGTTACTGGTGTTTATTAACACCTGTCAGACTGGCAAAACCCAAAGTGTGAATATA